AAGCCGTATCCCACCTGTCGCAAAATGTCAGTGACTTCTCTTATAAAACGGCATTTTTTTCAGTGTAAACTCTAAAAATAGTTAAATCCAAAAGTATTGTTTAGTGTAAAACATGTTGGAGATTAGCTGATAGTCTGTCGATTCATTAAATGATAAGCTGTTTATTCTAAAAAGCTGTTTATTCAGCGTAGTGAAGCCTCTCCACCAATGACATCCATTCAAAAAAACTGCCTCTGGTCTCCTTTCCAACATACTGGCAAAACGGAAGCGTTAGCATTAGCCGTTACGCTTTTTTAGCTAAAGGTTGCAGGCATGCCTTCTAGTGGCTTTGACGTGAGGTGAGAAAGCAGCAGTTAAGAACACGTCTGATTACAATGATGTGGATGTTTGCACGAGCTCTGCAGTTCAGTACTCCAGTAAAGTCCAGTCACGTCACGTTTATTTATATAGTACTTTATGCAATAGATAGCCTTAAATCAAGCAGCTTCACAGTATTAAACATGAAAAACTAGAGTCAGTGTCGCTTTCAGTGTGGAGCTAGCTAATGATAAAATCGTTTTATTAGGGGAAAAAAAATATTTCATTAAAGTGATAATTTGGTTTGCAGAGATTAAAACTTGATCTAGCTCAGGACTGTTTTGATTATCATAACCCTATAAGGTATTTTAAGAGAGATTATGTTGTGAATAAAATAGTTTATCCAAAAATAAAACATCTCATCACTTACCTTTATTTTGTTTCTCATCCATATGACTTAAAAAAGGAGATGTTAGGCAGAATGATGTGTCATTCAGTTACTTTTTCATATAGCTAATTAAATGGTGAATGAGATAGTTTCTCTGTCTGTCATCTCATTTTGTGCCAAATAGATTTATTTGTATAAATTAATTGTATAATAATTGTAATTACATTATATGATTTTCAAAAGCTGAAGTGATTACCTTTATTTATTTGTTAGAATATGTATAACTCAATATATTAACTAATTGCAAAAGCTGAATAATCAATCAAAGTCTACTGACTAATCAGTGAAATAATCGACGATTAGTCGATTTAATCATACTAATAATCGTTAGATTAATCGATTATCAAAATAATTAAAAAGAGTTAACGAGATAAACCAGTCATCATTTTTTTTGGTGTCATTTTTCAGATGACTTGGTACTCTCTTTTATTAACAGAAATGCAGTCTAGGTAACCTGCTAATTTGTTTTGGAAATACAGCCATAATCTGCACCAGTTGATTTTTCGATCTCATGAAAGTTGTCTGGATGAAATCTACTGTCTATATGTACATTCATATCTTTGAATCTTTTGGTCAGCATTTAATGATACCATATGTGACTGCAGAGTGATCTAAAGGAATGTTTTAGTCATGCACATATTGGACTTGTTGTCCGTTATGTGTTTTGTCTAATTCTTTATTTTTTGTTTTCTCCACAGATATTACTGACAGGAATGAACTGAAGACATTTTTTGAAACCAACTGCTCACAGATTTATTTTATCTTCTTTGAAAATTTCATTACACTGGAAAGTAACTTAAAGCAAAAAGGTAAGACATGTTTGTTTGCTTTCTGGAGTTCAGAATAAAAAAACAAACAAACAAACAAAATATATATAGTGGGTATAGATTTTTGTTGCTTTGCAGCCTGAAATGAAGACGGACACAGTTTTTGTTTTATCCAACTGTATTTACTCAACTTATAACATACAAGTGAAAGATATAACATCAACATGTCAGAAAAAAAAAAAAAATCAGAATCACTGAGGATAAAGGATCATCCCCTCCTAAAAATGACTTGTAAAACTCATTTAGGTGTAGCTGATCACCTTCTCAATGGCACACAAAGCCATTTGAGGACGATAATAGGTGAGCGCCAGCCAATGAGATTGCCGTTTGCGCATTAGTTCCGCCCACTACCGGAGAAAGCGGTAGTTCTTAAAAGCGGAAGAATTCCAAAGGAACTCCGTTATTTTGACAGCAAAATATAACAAAGAATATCGTTTACATGTAGCACGCATAGGTAGCGCGTCAATTCTCTCTCTCCCTCTCTCGCTGTGTGTGTGTGAAACAAAGCGACGGCGAGTCGTGCGCCTTCACATTGATTGGCTGTTGATGCACACGGCAGAACTGAGCACACAGTGATTGAAGGAGAAAAAAATTGATCTTTTAGTCTGTGCTTTTTTTCAGTTGATTTATTAGTTTAAAAAAGTTCATTTGTAGCGCACCTCACATCTAGTAATGGAAATAATTTCATGCATCTCTAATGTAGTTCATTCCAAATCAGTCACATATTGTAAAATATTCAGTTTCATGCTACATTAGAATGTAGCTGGCTAGGATAGAAAGGCAGCTCACAAAGGTTTTGGAAAAAGGCTTTTGAATAATGCAAAAAAAAAAAAAAAAGATTAAAGTCTACAGTTCCTCAACTTGATGTAACAGCCCTGCCTCGCTGTTGCCTGCATGCCCCCTCATGTGAAGTTAATGAGGCTTTTGTTTCTGTTGAGTCACACCACTGACCAAAGAGGTTTTCCTGCACTGTGTTCAGTGAAGGTCATCTGTCCTTCATGCTAAAGCACAATTCTGCAGTAGAAGTATTTGTTTGAAACTCACACCTCGTCATTTCTCCGCATGTCAAGAGAGTGATTTTATGATTCAGCTGAGCAGTTTTTAACTGAGTAACTTAAAGACCCGGAATTAAAATGGCATGCATGCATCAGTGCACTGCAGAGCATAAAATGAAGATAACCTGTGATGCTGTATACCCTAAGCATTAAGCATGAACATGCAACTTGACTGCAGTTTTTGCTGCAGACATTAATGATGTGAGGATTATCACAGACAGTGTGTCATAGAGCCAACAATATTCATAGTGCATGATAAGTTTAGTATAAAAAGTGATAGATCATTTACTTTGCACCCACTGCAGAATTTGTCACCCAAGAGCAGAAAAAATCTTACTGGGTTTTGCAGTCTGAATTGATAATGATAAAAAGCTAATGTAGTGTGAAAGCGCATATTTTATTGAGTTATACTTGTGGGTTGCACACAAAACTAAACAATGTAAACAGTAGGCTAGCCTATACAACCCCAATTCCAAAAAAGTTGGGACGTTAATGATTTCACTGGCCAACTTAATTGTATTTTGTACATATGAACAAATTTTGATTTGATGGCTGCAACACACTCCAAAAAAATTGGGACAGAGGCATGTTTACCACTGTGTCACATCAACTTTCCTTTTAATTACAATATTTAATCATTTGGGAATTTAGGATGCTAATTTCTAAAGTTTTGCAAGCAAACATTTTCCTCAATCTCGCTTGATACAAGACTTCAGCTGCTCATTTATCAATCAGTCTTCTTTCCATGATGGACAATACATTTTCAACAGGAGACAGATCTGCTGGCCAGTCAGTCACATCCACGTGTTTATGAAACCACGCTGTCATAGCACATGCAGATTGAGATCTGACGTTGTCTTGATCTAATAACCATGCACTTCCCATGAAAGACGTCATTTTGATGGCAGTATATGTCTCTGTACAATCCCAATATATGCCTCCACCTCAATGGTACCTTCACACATATTCCAGTCACCCATGTCGTTTGCACTGTTAAACCCCATACCATGACAGACATTTGCTTTTGCACTTGAAAGTCTGGATGCTCCTTTTTGTCTTTGCCACTGAAAATGTGATGTTTGTTTTCCCCCAAAATAAGCTGAAATGTGGACTCATCTGAGCACAGCACACATTTCCACTGTCTTTTGGACAATCTGAGATGAGTTCGGACCCAGAGAACTCGCAGGCATCTCTGCCTAGAATTGATGTATAGATTTCTCCTTGTGTAAATAGAGATTGAAGTTGCATTTCTTGATGCAGTGGCAGACTGTGTTAAGGGACATCGGGTTTCCATAGAACTCCCAAGCCCATGTGGCTATATTTACCACCGCAGCATGACGGTTATTCATGCAGTGCCTTCTGAGGGCTCAAAGGTCACACACAACTGAGGTTTCCTGCCTTGCCCTACACATACTGAGATTTCCCTGGATTCCCTGAATCTTTTCACAATATTATGCATGGTAGATGGTGAAATACCTAAATTCTTTGCTCAAATTCTCAAACCAAGATGTTGCTCACTTATTTGTGTGTTTGGGGTCGTTGTCTTGTTGAAACACCCATTTCCTGGTTTTCTTTCGCGTGTTTCGGGTTTTTGTTGCCATTTTAAAGCATTTGAAATCATTTTAGCTGAGCATCCTATAATTTGCTGCACTTCTTTATACGTTTTTCCTTCTCCAATCAACTTTTTAATCAAATTACGTTTTTCCTCCGAACAATGTTTGGAATGGCCCATTTTACTTTGCAATTCAGAAGGAAATTTATTTTATAACAATGTGTGAAACATTTCTTCCCTTCCTCCTTAATGAAGGACAATTCATGACACCTGTTTTTTTTCACAGAATAAATTAATTCTATAATTAAACTCTACACCTCTTTCAAAGCATCAGCACGAATGTCATACCAGTTTGGGCTGTTGTTTTTCTATTCCACCACTGCATCCACTATTTGCAATGCAGAAATATTACTACTGCTAATAACAGTGGTTCATCAGGTTACTGATGTTGTACTGCAATTTTTTTGAACACAACTATCATTTACATGTTAAGGTCTCTGCACACTGAGTCCGAAATTTTCGTATGAATTTTTATTTTTTCGTATTCGAAATCCTAAAAATCACGCACAGACAGAAACCTTGCACACTGAGTCCGATGCGTATTAATTAATCC